TCTAGATCTATCTAGCTTTATCTAGCTCTATCTAGCTTTATCTAGCTTTATCTAGCTTTAAAACCCTTACTTGAGCTAATCCTAACACCGCATCGTTGCTCATCGTGTGGATACTTGCAAAAAGACTAGCTGGCAACTGTTCTAAAGAGTTTTAAATCAAATTTTTTTCCAACTATTTCTTTTACTTTCAACATTGTCCGAATCTCCATGAATATCTCTCCATTTGGAAAGATGAACATGTAGAAATTGAGATAAGTAACTGGGTGAAATTTTGCGTCTTTCGCATTTGTGATGAACGGATCAGGACGCCAAATTCTTCTGGAAAACCTTTTCTTTTTAGAAAATCGAATCATTCTTGATACAAAGCCCTATAAAAACTATGATCCCTCTAGCTAGATCAGCCAGAATTCTTCTCTCTCTCACCGTAACGAGGTGAACTCATTGATGAGAATCGGTTTCGATAACCCGTGCGCCATTCGGATATCCCTCCACGCCATCCGCAACCATACATCCATATCGTAATCCTAGAACTTTCTTTGATTTAGATTTTAAGCATTTTAAACCAAACCATTGTCGTCAACTCAAAATTCGACAACGATTGCACAAAAAGACCGATTTTCACTTTCACGAGATGACCAGGTAACATTGAGGGAGGGGTTCTAAATCGAATAGTTTTTTCCCGCGACCATGTCGGCGTAGCCGAGTGGCTAAGAGCCCTGTCGGCAGGTCGAGATGGCTAGTGGCGAGGTCAAGGGTTCGATCCCGCCGGCTGGATTCTTGTCTTTTTTCTTTTCTAGGTTTTGACTAAGCCTGTATATTGACTATTGTATATTGACTTCATTATTCGTACTACATTATTCGTCAAATATTTGTTTATACTACATTATTCGTAAAATAAAGTCTATTTTTTAAAAATACTCAATTATCCAATCCTAACCTCTGATCATATTTCACTTTCTTCAGCCACGGGATGATTTGCGTGGATGGGAATGGCCGCTCGTCGCTGATGTTCTCGAATTGAGCCTGGAGAGAGGTTTTAGGTCGAATTACCATCAAATAAGTGCATTAGATAGAGCTTATCCTGGCTTTATATTGACGTGAACTAGTTCACCAACCAACCAACCATAATATTATCCAAGCCACCGTCCTCGTCTCTCATAAACTCGCGTACTTGTGACGCGTTCCATCCCAAACCGCTCACATCAAAAGCCAAGCTGTTGAAGAAGTCTTGAAATTCTCTTGAGTTCTTTTATTTGTTTTTTTTTTTGAAATTAACCCTCATCCTGATCGAAAGGCATCTCAAATTGCGCCTCATCGCCGCACAATCCACCAATACTCATAGCGATACTCTGATGAACATCAAGCAAACGAGCATTTAAGTTTATACTGAAAAGTGGATGTGATCTGGATGACTTGGAAATGGACTTGGAATGACTTAAAGCTTTAAAGCTTTAGCTTTCTTTCCCTCTCCCCAAATCCAACCTCTTTGGCAGAAGCTCTATATCATTTGTCGAATTCAACAGAAGAATTTGAGACTAAATTTGAGACTAACTAAAAAGAATGCTCTTTCTCAGAAAATTCGCTAAATTACCGTCGTATTTTGCTCGGTTTCCGCATCGAATCTCGTCTCTTTAATCATCAATTTTGTAAGAGCATCTTGCAATGAAGTACTAAAATTTATATGACTTCTTGAAATTTCGATTTTCACTTTTCACAAACCCATTCAGCGTTTCGTCTGTTGACTCGACTGTCATATTGCTGGCATTTGAAAGAGTCTCGCAGAATTGATCGACTTTTATCTCGTATCTAAATGCGTTTTTAGATACGGGATGTTTTTAGATATCAAAAGTTAGAATTTTAGAATTATAACCATTTTGAAAACCCACCTAAAAGCCTCTTGAGTCGAGTTGAACCAGTGAATTCGTGAGTAAAAACGACAAATCGTGTCCCAGTTGAGATGGATTGCCTAGAGAGGAAAGCTATTCTATTTCTTATTAATAGATTTGTTATTAATAGACTTTTCAAGACTTGTGTGCTCTAAAAAGAGGTGTGTTTTCAATGAGCACAAAGTACAACAAAGTCTTTTCTTCTCCTTTACCGCGTATTGCTCAAGGAGTTTCCCGGGAATTTGATATTTCGATGCATCACGCCATGTATAAATTGAAATTGATCGGCGCCTTTGTGCTAACAATTCAATGTCTGATGTGGAGAGATCGTGATTTCTTGTCTAAAATCCAGAATAAGGCATTGCAATGCATTGCAGCTTCAAAAAAACCGGCCAAAACTTGGCCAAAACCAGATCACCGATTTCTTGGATTCGATTGCCATTCAGACTTTTATTCTCAATTTCTTTTCTTTTCTTTTCTTTTCAATGTATAAATCTATTAGGTTGGTGAATTGAAAACTGCCGGACTTCAGCCATGCCTAGGCCTATCTTATAGGCCCTGGGGGCCGATTGGGACATCCCTGGATGGGTCTAGATCTAGTAGGTCAACTTTTATCTATTACTACAGTTTACGTTAGTGTAAATCTATTAGGTTGGTGAATTGAAAACTGCCGGACTTTGAACTAAAATTTACTCAACATAAAACCATGAATTCATTCCAAATAATTTCCATTATTATTGACGACTTCTGCCCATTTTACAGGCAATTTGCGGATTCCTCTTTCGTGGTAGGATTTTGGTTTTGAATCGAAAAACTTTTCGAGCCAATTTTTGACTGCTTCTTCCGAATCGAAGTGTTCTCCCGCAAGCTCATTACTCATGACCCGGAATAAATAGTAATCAAAAGGGGCGAGGTCTGGACTGTATGGGGAATGCGCCAAAAGTTCCCAAACAAGGCTATTTATTTTAGAGCGAGTCAGTTTTGCAACATGAGGGCGCGCGTTGTCGTGGATGAGAACGATCTTTGACTTGAAGGGCCTATTCTTCTTTAGGGATTCATTCACCTTTTCCAACTGTGTGTGAGACAAGAGACAAGTGTGAGACTCAAAAATGGAGGACTGGAGATGCCCCAGTTTGAGCACTTCCTTCAAAAGAAACCCATTTTGGTGTGAATGGAAAAGTTGTAGAGAATCAAAAATTAGGCTTATAGCCAAGTTTCCAAAAAGATACACTTAGTAGTTTCGCTTAAAATGCAAGTTTTGTGAAAAGTCGTAAATTTGGCATTTCTTGAAAACCAGTTTTTGAATCGTTCTGAAAATTTGGATATAAGCTCGATTTTTGATTCTCTACAACTTTTCCATTGACACCAAAATGGGTTTCTTTTGAACAAAGTGCTCAAACTGTCACATATGACAATAGCCCGCAGTTTTCAATTCACCAACCCAATATTTCCCCGATCGTTACCAACCTGTGTCTTCCAGTAAATTTGCCATGCCATACATTGTGTGTGATTCCGTGTCTCTATCCCTGCATCCTCAGCTTGCCACGCGGTTTTTATTGTCAATTCGCTGACTAAAGAAAAGCTTTTACTTGTATTTAAAGTTGTCTTGTTTATTTAGATTGTCTTGATTTATCTAGCTTTCCAAAATTAACATTTAAAGCTGATCAAACCTGGCTCCGGGGCAACGCTCAAAAAAAGAAACCCAAAAAACAATATCCAGTGTGGAAAAAATGAGAATTCCATAAATTATAGCTGAGAGCAATTTGCATTTGAAATTCTCATGAAAAGTATCAATCGTTTTATTGTAAAGGCGAAATTTTGGGCGGTTGAAAAGTTGAAAAGAGACATTGGGAAGCGCTAATTTCTTTTCATGGTCACATTGTCGATCGTTTTTTTTGTCAATTCTTTCCTTTCTTTTTTTCCATTTCTTTTCCCATTTCCTTCTCAATAAATGCTTTCCTTGACAAGAAAATCCCCAAATTTTAACATCATTTTTTGGCTTTGAACTTAAATTCACTCTGAAATTTGTCAATGTTTCATTTATCACTTATCTGTACTGTGTACGTGTACTCGTACTATTTTGTGCGCTTATCTTGTGTTTCTTGTGTTCTTCAGATGAGAAATAGAGATCTTTTGTTTGCTAAATGACTTTAAAAAGCATCCCAATTGAATTGCTGATTGAAATTAAACCATTAAAATCAATCTAATTGGGGGTGGGACAAATGCGACCTTTTTTTGCGCACCTGGACATTTGCGCACCTATTTTTTTGCTGGAAAAGGCCTTAGGAAAGGTCATAGAGCTTCAAAAATGTTTTCATACAAGGGAATCGTATGCGTAGATTCCGAATTTCGACAAATCCGACCTCGCTGACACGTCAAATTTGGGCTAAAAAGGCAAAAACTACGCAACTTCACGCTTTTCCGCAGTTTTTGCCTTTTGGCCCAAATTTGACGTGTCAGCGAGGTCTGATTTGTCAAAATTCGGAATCTACGCATACGATTCCCTTCTATGAAAACATTTTTGAAGCTCTACGACCTTTCCTAAGGCCTTTTCCAGCAAAAAAAAAGGTGCGCAAATGTCCAGGTGCGCAAAAAAAAAGCTAGCATTTGTCCCACCCCCGTAAATAACTTTAAAAAGCATCCCAATTGAGTTGTTGCTTGAAATTAAATCATTAAAATCAATCTAATTTGATAAATTGATAGAAATTGATAGAAATTATTTGATTTTTTTCAGTTATTATTTTTTTTTATTTCATTTTTTTTCTTGTAAGATTTTATTGTTTATATAAATCTTTATATAAATCTCATCGAATTGCAAAGAAGAAAAAGAAAAGAAGAAAAGAAAAGAAAAGAAAAGAAGATTTTATAAAAAAGATGAGATTTGCAAAGAAAAGAAGGAGATTTTATATAAAAAAAATAGAAGAAATTAATAGAAAAAGGGTATTTTATGTTCCAAAATCAGAAAATAACTTTATTTTTTTAACTTTTTATTCAGTCAATTTCCCGTGTTCGGTAAGAGTGCAAAGTGAAAAGAAAAACGTGAGGCTAGTGTTTATTGTGTTTTAAAGTGAAATCCTTCTAGAATCTTCTAGAAATCTTCTAGAATCTTCTCTATTTAGCGATCATGTAAAGGAAAAATGAGACGAAAGCGGTAATGAAAGAGAATTTAGCGGTTGAGGAACCATTGCACAAATCGCCCGAACAACAATTCACTTCAAGCACGGGATTCGATCCATACGTCGATTTGCCTTCTTTCTAGAAAATTATCAGAGATTTTGATTGTATCATTTCACGCAAAACATTGAAATTTTCGGTTTTAAGAAGTTAAAATTCTAAAAGCTTCTTTAAAAGAGAAAAAAGGATGCTTTAGAGCTTAATGTAAGTGTAACTGTAGTTACTTGTAGTAAGTGTAGCTGTAGTTAACTGTAAGTGTAACTGTAGTTACTTGTAGTAAGTGTAACTGTAGTTAACTGTAGTTAACTGTAAGTGTAACTGTAGTTAACTGTAAGTGTAACTGTAGTTAACTGTAAGTGTAACTGTAGTTACTTGTAGTAAGTGTAACTGTAGTTAACTGTAAGTGTAACTGTAGTTAAATGTAAGTGTAACTGTAGTTAACTGTAAGTGTAACTGTAGTTAACTGTAAGTGTAACTGTAGTTACTTACTCTGTTTGTATTACTTTTACCATTAGAACTTTCAATAAGTTTTCCACTTTGATAACTTTTCTTTTCACTCACTGTGCACATGTTCACTTTCATCCCGGCCGGTGTCGCACATCCGCAATCCCACGTTGCCGCTTTCACACTGGCTGCCTGAAAAAGTACGAATGACAAGTTAATAAACATTGATATGCAAAATTTGAAATCTGAATTGATTTTCAAAGTAGTTCTAAATAGATCTGCAATTCGATTAAATTCAAAATTAGAATAGATCTACTTGGAGCTAGAGCTAGAGCAGAGTTAGAGCTAGAGCAGAGCTAGAGCTAGAGCTAGCTGCTAGAGCTAGAGCTAGAGCTAGCTGCTAGAGCTAGAGCTAGAGCTAGCTGCTAGAGCTAGAGCTAGAGCAGAGTTAGAGCTAGAGCAGAGCTAGAGCTAGAGCTAGCTGCTAGAGCTAGAGCTAGAGCTAGAGCTAGAGCTAGAGCTAGAGCTAGAGCTTGGATCTTTCCTAATAGCGGTGGCCCCGAGGGATTATCGGTGGCCCCCATTTTTTCAAGGAGATTAACGGCGGCCCAAGATTATTGATAGCTTACTACTTCTGAAGTTTTTCACACATTTATCCGATAACTCTTACGCCTTGTAAACCGACGTAACATTTACACAAATATTTCTGACACATTTACGAAAAAATGGGGCCGCCGATGATCCCCTACGGCCGCCGCTATCAGAAAAGGTTCTAGAGCTTTCAAATCAAGAAAACATCTAGAATAAAGCTCTAAAATAATTAGCTATTTGATTTAAATTTCTAATATAATATAATGTAATATAATATAATATAATATAATATAATATAATATAATATAATATAATATTCACTTGTGCATAGTACTTGATGCAATAATCCCCGCAAGAGCATGAGACTTCTCGTTCCTGGAATTGAGAGTTAAAAAGCTATAACTATAACTTATGTATCTTATCATCTGAGCCTTTATTATCTAGATATCTCACATTTCCTGAATGATGCTCATCTCCACTGTTGTCTTTGTAACATTTCAACGCTGTAGCCACTGAGATCAATGCCAAAAGGAAAAAAGCTCGCATCATGATATTGTTAAAGCTGAAAAGTTTCTTTTAAAAAGTGAAATAATACAAAGAAACAAGGCTTGACTTGGCTTAAACCAATTTATCGTAAGATCAGCCTAGCTTTACTGCCAAAAGTTGCCAGTAGATTTAAATCAACAATAGATTTAAGTCAGCAATAGATTTAAGTCAACAATAGATTTAAATCAACAATAGATTTAAATCAACAATAGATTTCTAAAAACTCTGCCGATCTTGTAAAGCTAAAACAATAATTGAATTCATTATCATATAAAGAAAACGAAATTCTAACGTTTCTCTGAATTTAAACATTAACTCTAAAAGCAAAAAAAAAGTTGATGCTGATTTTATGTGAAGGAATGGCAAACAGGGGAGCGCTTTATTTGACCCCCTGCCGAGCTGGGCCAGCCCCCCACTCCTCTTCGAAAATCATCAACAAAAACAAGCTCCTCTACAGCTCAACAAGAGTTCACAAAAAGTCCCCTTCATCCTCATCGATTTCAAAATAGAAATGAAAAAGAATAACAGACACCCGTTTCTCACCTTTTTTTTGTGCACTTTTGTTTGTTTGCTACTTGGAAATATTTCCTCGAAAATTGCACGTGCACTTTTTTTGATGCAGTTCTTTTTCTTGGAGGTCGATGAGCAGTTGAAGATCTAGAGCAGAGAATTTATTTATTTTAGATAATACTAACAAGAGAAGGTCACGAAATCATGATCAATCGAATGAAACCATCCGATGCACAATTTGGCGCTGATTCCAAATCTGCTGCAGGACTACTGTTTTGCCTAGGCTTAGTCCACAAAAATCCTCTGGGACTAGAAGCTAGGCTTGAACCTGGCTTGGCCTACAGGTCTTAGAAAATCCCGATTCAAAAATTCTTACAAGGGAAAGGTGACGAAATCAAGGAAATCAAGGACATCTATCCACCTAGACCAGAATTTTGCGCTGATTCCCGGACCTGGCTTGGACCTTTGGGGGAAAGCATTATAAAACAGCTGTTCAAAAAAGAAAAACTTGAAGAGAGTCGAACCCTCGACCCAAATCTTTGCATTTCGACCCGTTATCCGCTACACTACGTAAACATTTCGTTGACGCGCGCAAGCAAGCGTTATAAAAGAGGCCAAAAACTTGTTTGCAAAATCCCTTGCGATTTCGACTTATTTAGCAAAAATGGACAGTAGATTTGGAATCAGCGCAAAATTCTGGTCTAGGTGGATAGATGTCCTTGATTTCCTTGATTTCGTCACCTTTCCCTTGTAAGAATTTTTGAATCGGGATTTTCTAAGACCTGTAGGCCAAGCCAGGTCCAAGCCTAGCTTCTAGTCCCAGAGGATTTTTGTGGACTAAGCCTAGGCAGAGCCAAAGAGGCAAGACAAGAGTCTAGCCTAGAAAACTTGTCTTTGCAATACTCTTTTTCCTTTCCTCTTCTCTTGTTTTTCTCTTCTCTTGTTTTTCTCTTCTCTTCCCACTCTCGTTAGTCAGTTTGCACTTTTGCTTTCACATACACAACAATTGATCATCGAAAAGGGAATTAAAATCAAGGACAAAGCTTTGTATAAACACAAAAATAATAAAAACAGACAATGAATCATTCAAAGAGTTGACAAGAATTTAATGGGGAAAAAACGATGATTTTTGAGAATTTTCGGGATTTTTAACAGTAACAGTAACAGTGCTTGTCATTTAGAAACAGAACTTTACTGGATAACGACTTCAGTGTGTCAGAAAGGGTATTTTGTGTACTGAACGTGAGAATAGATTCATTTTTTTCAAGCCTAACCCTCGAGCCAAAGACGACCATATAAAAAGTGTGGCGTGTGAGACAAAAAAAAAAGCCCTATTTCTGGTTGTGTCTTTAAGTGAGCTTTTCACCGAATCCATTTCAGCATTGAAAGCTTGAAAGCTTTTTATTTCTTATTCATTTATTGAATTTAAAATCTCTCAAAAAAAACATAGCTTTTTGAATGAACCCGTAGGGGAAAATACGATAGGATATCACAAAGACTGAACAAGTAAAAATATCGTAAAGACTCATACAGCCGCTATCATTTTTTTTCTTAATCCCTAGACTTTTCCCAATTACACCAAAAAATACTAGATTTCAAGAGCTATAATTCAACAATTTGTAGCAAAATGGAGCATAAAGCAGCGCGGAAAACGGAACGTTCAAAGTTAGACTACGCGACTGTACGCCCATCATTATAGGTGCAGCGTTCTAGAGTACGGTATGCATTTCCAGTGCCTATTTAAAGCACAAGATCAGCTCAGTGAGCTTTTATTCGGAGAACGGAACGTTCAAAGTTAGACTACGCGACTGTACGCCTGGGAGTGATTAGAACATTTACGGTATTAGAAATTCAGGAAAACAGTCTAATCACAATACTTTAGCTATTTTTTCGGTACACGACCAATCAGGGGTCCAAGCAGTACCCGCACCTCTGACAACATTAAAGAAATCAACAATCTCTGAAACATAATAATGACGATCATAATGAAACCCATTAGCCGCTAATAAATTGGCGACTGATTGATCGTAACGATGACAATTCGCGTAGTCACTGTAAAAGTTTCGATTAGATACAAAAAGGGAAATCGTTTTGAAGTAGCATTGAATTTTTCTTAGTCTTATTAGATTTCATTTTAAGATTTTTGGATTTAGTTTTAGGTTTAGATTTAAATAATTTAGAAGTTTTGAGATAAAATCTTATATTAATTTAGTTTATTTGTTTGTTTGTTTGTTTGATTGATTGATTGTTTGATTGATTGATTGATTGTTTTAGTTTAATTGTTTTAGTTTAATTGTTTTAGTTTAATTGTTGCTAAACTCACGAGAATTTCGAGGCTCCCCATTGACAACCAAGAGAGATCCCAGGAATCCCTCTTGGAGCCATACAATTGTCTTCTAAAGCGCACAAGACATACCTAAAAGTGAATTTCATTGGACGGAATGGCATTTCGAAAACTTAGAAACAGACAGACAAGTTGCTGAATAACATTATAGACAGTATGGGGAATGCGCCAAAAGTTCCCAAACAAGGCTATTTATTTGGCAATTTGCGGATTCCTCTTTCGTAGTAGGATTTTGGTTTGTGTATGAGACAAGTGTGAGACTCAAAAATGGAAAACTCGTGATGTCCCTGGAGGACGTTTGAGCACTTTCTTCAAAAGAAACCCATTTTGGTGTCAATAGAAAAGTTGTAGAGAATCAAAAATTAGGCTTATAGCCAAATTTCCAAAAAGATACACTTAGTAGTTTCGCTTAAAATGCAAATTTTGTGAAAAGTCGTAAATTTGGCATTTCTTGAAAACCAGTTTTTGAATCGTTTTGAAAATTTGGATATAAGCTTTGATTTTTGATTCTCTACAACTTTTCCATTCACACCAAAATGGGTTTCTTTTGAAGAAAGTCCTCAAACTCTCACATATAACAATAGCCCGCAGTTTTCAATTCACCAACCCAATAGATTTATGCTTTGATGTTTATAATTTCTTGTGAGACCGTGTCTTGGTGTGGTTTAATGGTAGAAAAGTTGCTGAATAACATTATTTAGAAGGAAAGGAAAGGAAATTGAAGAAAAATACCATCGCATAATCCTCTCGACAGTGTCCTTTGTTCTCACCGCGTACACAAATCCCGCCTCATACATTTTCGCTTTTGGCTTTATAATCTCATCAAAATTTGTTGGAATCCATTCGTAAAGATCTGCTTTTTATTGTTTTTATCCTTTATTAAGCCCCGGAAATTACGATGTGATGTAGCTGGATAGATCCCGTGACCAGTCCATCCGTGGAACATGTAAGCTGACTGAAATTCATCTTTCTAGTCATTCGATTCAGTACATTCTAGTCATTCGATTCAATTTCTACAAGCCAAACCTTTCTACAAGCTTTCAAATTGTCATCCCACACGTCGAGTGTCCATCCCGACTCGTGAATTGTTGTGTTTTCTCGGGAATCCCTCTCTGCAATCGATGGCAATGGGGTTTTCTCGAAACCGACTTTACTCCGACAGTTTAACAACTGAAATTTTTAAACTACTATTTCTAGTATGTCTTTGAGTACGGTAATGATCAATTCGTTTAAATCTAACCGTCAAACTTTGGCTTAGAACTTGAACTTGACTTGAGCTTAATCAAACTTCTTGCTAATTAAATCTCTGTTCTTTTCCTTACATCGTAAACATGCGATAAATTCTGTTTCCTCCATGTGATTGAACTGTCCATATACCAAATGGCGCCGAATTCTTTCAATGTTTCCTGAAAGTTTTCTTGTTTGTTTCCTCTTTCTTCATTGTCTTGTCTGGGCAAAGAAGGCGTCAATAGCTTAGAAGAGAGAACCCCGTGAAGTTAGATTTCAGTAGCGATCAGATTCCGAGGTGCCAACACCTCTTGGTTAAGGGCATCTCAAAAACTGTTTTCAAATCCTACTTATCAAGCCGCTTTTGAGACATAAACCTTCAAAGTTTAAGCCAATTTCGCCAAATAGCAAGCTAGGCGAGTTAAGGTTTTGCCACAGGCTAGTCGATGTGTCTCGGTAGCCTAGTGGATGTTGCGTTAGCGCTTTGTTTGTTTGTGTTTGTCGCTTCGGGTTTGTTTTGTCCCTGGTTCGGATCCACTGTCGACCAGTCTTTTTGTTTTTTTTTTAAAAACACTCGAAAATAGCTTTTTTGATCAGTAATCTCTTAAAAAATAATAGTTTTATGCAAAAAAGGTTCCACTTTTTGAATAATTGACCCAACAGTTTGTTGTTTGGCGAAATTGGCCAAACAGCAAGCTGTTAACTTTGAAGGCTTATGATAATTATTAGGTTGATGCAAAAGTCTTTTTCATTTTTTTCGTACTTCCGTTAAAAAGTAACAAATGCACCAATTGAACAACGGTTTATTGCATTCGAAAGGCCAATTATTTTTCTGCAAAATGACATTAAAACGAGTTTAAAATGTCTTATGTCTAGATTTTTTTGAGAGCCTGAAGTCGGGTAGTCAAAAAAGGCGACGGCTCGATGATGCATTTTAGACGCTTTAGCTAAGGAAACCAATCTTGATGTTAATAAATAAAAGATAGAGCACAAAAAGTTCGATATTTTTTCAGATTTTCAGAGAAATTGATTCAGCCAATTTCTTTATAGAGGTTTTTATAGATTTTTATGAAAAACCCGTTTTCACTCTCGAATTTGCTTGAAAGTGAACCCAAATTGACTTAAAAAGATGGGAAAATTCAACAATAAACACTTTTCATTTAGAGCAAACCATAGGTTAATTGATGACTTTGTTATTTTTCAAAAGAAGTACGAAAAAAATGAAAAAGACTTTTGCATCAACCTAATAGGATTTGAAAGCAGTTTTGGAATGGCTTTAACCATTTGCACCTCGGAATCAGATTGCTCTTGAAATGTAAATTCAAGAGGTTCCCTTGTTAGTGATAGAGCATCTGCACGATAAGCAGAAGATCAAGGGTTCAATTCTGCCTTGGTTTCAAATTCTTTTCATTCATTTCTTTAATTTTTTGTTATACTTTTCCCTTACCGCGATCACAATCGGTTTCCAGCGATACTCAGCCAACTGACGAACATATTGAGGATAGACATCAAATGGGAATTTTCTATAATAGAGCAAATTCTTTTACCGGGATTATCAAGATTTTTGGGGTAGGCTAATTTCCGCATTTTTTTTTGCGCAACTAGATCTTTTGCGCAAATCGCCATAACTTTCTTCTAAGTGGTGCAATCTTTATGATTTTGATTTCATTTTGTAGAACTCAATAAGTGCAAGAAAATGAAATCAAAATCATAAAGATTGGTCCAGTTAGAAGAAAGTTATGACGGGTTGCGCAAAAAAAAATTGCAGAAATTCGTCTACCCCATATTTCTAGATAAATGACTCACCGAAGTTCGACATTACAAAATCCATTGATTTCTGCGGCTGTTGAACTTGTTATCCCCAAATCATAGATAATAACTTTTTGCTGACGCCAATGTTGACGAATCAGGGCAATCTGTGCAATTTCGTTGAAAGCTAATCTAATCGATTTTTCCAACAAACCAATCTCTTTGCTTCATCCCAATGATTCTCTGAAAATGCGGTGACAAAGATTGGTTCAGGAACGTGGCTCTTTGTCAAATCGATTGTTGGATAATCCGGTAGCAATCCTGGAGAAAGGAAAGTTTTGACTAAGAGAAAAGGTAAAGTTAAAGAAAAATCAATTGTTAAACGAAACGAAACGAAAATCCGACCTAATCTCTTGACATCTTTCACATAATCACACGCGAATCGTTTCCCTTTTTTCCCGTTTTCAGGTAAATGATAGCAAAAATCGTACTCATTTCCGTCTTGATCTTTGCATAAACACTCGGGATCGATCCATTGCTGAAAGATAGGATTTGAAAAGGTGAACAAACGTTTTCTCAGAAAACTCTTGCAATTCTTGGTTTAATTTCAAGAAAATCTCCTTTGCTTTGAGGGTTTTCCTGGAGAGATTTCTTGTTTTTTAGTAATTTTTGAGCACACAGGTTAGTTGTACAACAATTTTCAAAAACCACAAATTTATAGCATTAATTTTAGACAAAAACAACGGCACACGTTGACCTTTTCCTTTAAAATCGCTTGAATAGGAGCTTCTTGTGGAAGTGATTGAGGCTACAAGTTAGAAAAAGTAATGAGCTCAAGAATCTAGAGTAGAGGAGCTTCCTGTGGAAGTGATTGAGGCTACAAGTTATGAAAAGTAAAGAGCTCAAGAATCTAGAGTAGAGGGCCTGTGGGGGTCTTGTGGAAGTGATTGAGGCTACAAGTTAGAAAAAGTAAAGAGCTCAAGAATCTAGAACTAGATCGACTAAAATGAACATAATAATCGAGCTAGCTTGTTCTAATTTTACTTATTCATTTTAATCTTATCAAAGGAAACCTTCTCAGTGTGATTCCGATACGCATTGTAGAAGAAATAAACGGAGAGGACGAAGGCGATCAATTGAAAAAATCGAGAATAGAGAAGAGGGAAAAGACGACGCACACGAGAATGGGAAATCAGCATTTTCGATGGAGAATAGATTTCTCTTTTCTTTTAAGCCACAAAATGCAGACTTTCTTCTGAGATACCAATCAATCTCATCTCGTTTTCCTCATCTTCCTTCTGAAAATTGAAAAGCTAAAAAGAAAATGAGTAATCAAAGAAAACAATGATAGATTCAAGAACCCTTGCCTTCTGAATTTCAATGCATTTTCGACTTTGAAAACTATTCATTGCTAGATTTTGTTTTCTTTTGATGAGAAATGAGATTCGAGGAAAGGAAATGAGATTCGAGAAGTACTTCTTTTTTTAATGAAACAGAGTTGAAGCATTTTTGTTCTTTGAAAAGCTGTTTAAAGTAGAAACTGCTGTGCTAGGACTTATTTTGTCTACTTAGTTTTGTTCAAAGTACAGTCGACTCTCTCTATAACGGAATGGAAGGAACCAAAAAATTTTACCGTTATATAGAGTGCACTTTTATTGGCTTAGCGTCGGCTGGGACCAAAATTCGATTCCGTTATAGAGAGAGTCAACTGTAAACACAGATCAAGATTTGTTGCTTGTAATAATCAAGATTTGTTACCAGTAAGCAGCCAATTTTTTTAAGCTTTACAGTAAGCAGGAAATTTTGTAAGCTTTACAGTAAGCAGCAAATTCTATAAGCTTTACAGTAAGCAGCAAATTCTGTGAGCTTTACAGTAAGCAGGAAATTCTGTAAGCTTTACAGTAAGCAGGAAATTCTGTAAGCTTTACAGTAAGCAGGAAATTCTGTAAGCTTTACCAGTAAGAGCTAATTTTCTAAGCTTTTCCAGTATGCATTCTTTTATTAAAAATATATTTTAAACAAAATAGCTTCTATTCTAATTGTAGAATATAATATCTATAATTCGAATTATGCAAAACTAATGGCAAGAAAGGAAAACATAAATGAATGGAGATGAACGATCAATGGGCTCCCGGCAACCGAAAGGGGAAGTTTCACACAAAAAAAAAAGGTTTTTAAAACTAAAATCCATTTCCTTAGTGGTAAAAATTTGAAAGTAAAATGTTTTTTTTTAAAGAATTTCTTTTTAACCATTCAGTGTTGTTAGGATGGAATCAGGAAAAATTCGTTAAAAATTTGCACAGCTTGTTTGGCTAAAAATTTGCCACGACATAAAAATCTCGCTTTTCAAATCATTGAAATTTAGAAAATTAGAAGAAAAATTTCAAACTTGTTCATATTTTTATAAGAAGGAATTTTGGCAGATGGGGAATCTGGCATAATAATAAGATTCTAAAAGCATTTACAGAAGATTCCAGAAAGGTATAATATAAGGAGGGGAATTTGGCAAATTTACAGAAGCATTACAGAAGCATTTACAGAAGATTCCAGAAAGGTATAATATAAGAAGGGGAATCTGGAATAATAATAAGATTCTAAAAGCATTTACGGAAGATTCCAGAAAGGTATGATATAAGAATAGGAATTTGGCAAATTTACAGAAGCATTACAGAAGATTCCAGAAAGGTATAATATAAGAAGGGGAATCTGGAATAATAATAAGATTCTAAAAGCATTTACAGGCGATTCTAGAAAGGTATAATATAAGGAGGGGAATTTGGCAAATTTACAGAAGCATTACAGAAGCATTACAGAAGCATTACAGAAGCATTTACAGAAGCGTTACGAAAAGTCCAAAAAAGGGAGGGAAATAGGGGGGGTGGTGCAAATTTACAGAAGCATTACAGGAGCATTTACAGAAGCATTACAGAAGATTCCAGAAAGGTATAATAAGAAGGGGAATTTGGCAAATTTGCCACGACATAAAAATCTCGCTTTTCAAATCATTGAAATTCAGAAATTTAAAAAAAAAATGACAACTTGATCATATTTTTTTCAGATCAAGAAACCAAAAATTCTATTTTTTTTTATTTTTAGGTCTTCTGAAATGTTTGAAACCTTTGAAAAAAAAAGTTTGAAATTAGCAAAAAGAATTATTTAAATGGCAAAAGCTTTAAAAGTTTCATTGCTAATTAAAGAAGAGATTAAAGAAGACAAAAAAATGAAGAATTCAGCTACGCGAACATTTGTATTTATCATTTGCAAGCATAATGTACATGAAAATCTTGTGAATCTTGTGAATCTTGTGACTTGTGAGTCCAATCTCACTCAATTATCTTTCCCTTTTAGCCAATATATGCAAATTTTCTCAAGAAGACTTCATCAAAGAGTCCATTTTGACTCCTTTCTCAAATAATTTACTTATTCTATTAAAGTGAAAAGAAAAAGAAGACAAAGCTTTTACTTATTGACGAGTGAAAGCATTCTTTTCCTTTCTTTCTTTTCTTTCTTTTCTTTTCTTTTCCTTTCTTTTCTTTTTCTTTCTTTTCTTTTCTTTCCCCTTTTCATCTTTTCTTTAGCTTTCCTTAATTAGAGAGTGTCATTAGGAGGATTGCTTATTGCTGGTTGAGAAAATAAAGGATTCAATGCGCTTGAAAGACAGTACAATTTTAAGCACAAAGTATAGTTTTAAAAATGACTTAAACAAAGCTAAATAGAACTAGAAATAGAACAAAAAATCGATTCCAGTTGAACTAGGATAGTTTTAGATAAATCAAAATGAAACTTTGATTTATCGAAAAACGATAAACGATATACAAAATGAAGTGCATCAATTCTTTTTCCATTTGACAATCACTCAAAAAATCGATTCCATTCGATTCCATTCATGCGATTCTTGAATTCTTTAAAAAGCATCAATTAATTCATCGCTTTTTGATCGATTATTGAATCTTATAGCTTAGTTATATTGGATAAAGTTACCCGTAATTGTTCCAATATCACACTCAATCTCTATCAGAACTCTCAAAGTCTAGTATTAGAGCTTTTTTTAGAGCTGATAAACATACTCATCCTACTAAACTCATCATAAATAATGCTTCAGTAAAATCTCAAAACTCTGTACAGCTAGTAAGCTGAAGTTGGTTTTTACTAACCATGGATTTACTTTTTGTTCAAACTTTATTCTGGTCTTTTTTGTACTAGCAATCAATCCAGTACCAAATCTGATCTGATGTCAGATTCGCCATTTAGTGCTGTTTAACCCGAGTCTTGTACTAGACTCGGGTTAAACTGTATTGCAATTGAACCGGTAACAGACAGTACACAACCAAAACCATGACTAGATACCAAAGAATCTCATACTCGCCCCAGATCTATCAGATCTATCAGACTCAAAAACTTGTACAAAATAAACTTTGTGCCTGTTCGTGTTCGTATTTTCCCTTGCAAAGTCGCATCGCTGTCTCTTAAATAAATACATTTATTAAAGCTCGAATAGAAGGTGTTTTTTTTTTGTTTATAGAACAATCTCTTTTCTATTTACAATTTTATCACAGTGAACAGAAGTGAAATCGAATCGAAACCAGAAGAAATGTACTACAAAATCGAGCAACACAACGGTGGAGGAGCTTCGTTTTTGATTAGAGCTCCTGTACCGGCCAGAAATGCCTCGTCAAATACCTGAAATTCTTCAAAAACATAAATAGTAAAATTAATTCTAAAATTTGAAATTTAACTGCAAACTTAATCCAGAATTGATTCAAATTTTCAAACCCGTTTTAAACCGCGTTGTGTGAGTGCTGAGCACGGGATGAACGAGATGCAACCCATCTAAAAATTTTACTTTAAGGAAATGTTAAGAATTCAATCTCTAACCTCTTGTGCAATTTTCTCAGCTTTTTCCAGTGATAGCCTCTGTGTTTCGGGCTCTTTCTCCCATAAATCCTCCTTTGTGCCGACCAAGATCACGGGTAACACGGGTAACATCTGACCAGTGTACTTTCGAATCTCGGGCATCCACGTTATCTAAAATAGTTTATGAAATGAGAAAAAGAGCTCCTGAATTTAGAATCGGTTAAATCAATTCATGAAATGTCAGCTAAAGCCAGTCAGAACTAGTTTAGAGCATGGCTAGAAACCAAGTCACGTGTAGAAAATCAATTCTGGAAGATTAACATGGATACAGTTTAGAAGAAAAGATACTTCTGGAAAAGCCAGCACCAAATTTGACCAAACTTCCAGAGCTGATTCTACAATGAGTCTAATCGTAAGCCTATTGCTATCAAAATGCTCACCTGTGCTGCGTCAAGCGTTTTCCCATCGACCATCGAGAAACATAACAAAAAAACGTTCGCTTGTGGATAAGAAAGTGTTCGCAAATGGGCATAGTCCTCCTGAAATCGAATATGATTTTGTTATGTGTCAAATTTTCCATTATCTTTTCCATTTCCACTTCAATTTTCTCAATCCTTTGATTCTTGTTTGAAGAGTTCCCTCTTGTCCCTAATTTTCACTAATCCCGATTTTCTCTTTCACTAATCATTTGCAAAAAAAAAGTGCATTAACAGTGCTAGGTCAACAGAGCAAAAAGCTTTTGTGACAACATTCCAATAAATTGTTTGAAACTAAATTCCGCTCCAGAAAAGGGGTGTTTTCAATGATTCTTGATCTCAGTGAGTCGATCAAAAGATCATCAAGCTAAGTTCTTTTTGATTTCCTTTCCCTTCATTTCCTCTACTTCTGACACATTGTTTATTTGTGAGTGATGCCTGTCTTATTCCCCCATTCGACCCATCATTGACCTTCCTCACTCAAACAAACAAATGATCGATCTTGTTGATGGGATGGGTTCTAGGCTTTACTTTAAAGCTAGAAAAGCTAGAAAAGCTAGAAAAGAAAGCGTCAGCTTTGATTCTGTAAGGTTCATGAAAGATAAAGTGATATCAAGATTACAGAAACTTTCGAAAATTGATCGATTTCAGCAGTTCAGGGGCTTACAAATAATATTTTTTTTTTGAAAAATTCACCTGTCCAGCGGTGTCGAAGAGATTCACGAGGTACCTCTTTCCCTCAATGTTGATGTTAACAGCGAAATTGTCGAAAACCGTTGTGTCGTACTTGGTGACGAAACGTTGTTCAGTGTACGAGTAGAGAAGGCTGAAAGTTCAATATTAATATGTGAGGAAAATAACCAAGTTTT